AAAATGATAAAAGAGGTAGAATCTACAAATTCAGGAACTGATTGTGCATGAGAGTGGAATGAATAAGGAGAGGCCAAGGATGACTCCCAGGTTTCTGCCTTGGGAAACTATATCAATGGGGATTTTATTAACTGAAATATGGAAGGAGGAGTGGGAATACAGTAAGAGAAAGATGAGTGGATTGTTCAAGCTGAATTGTTCACTAGACAATTGGATATGCATTGGCCTTAGATAGTAGACTCATTTTATATTGCCTTCCTGGCCTGTATCCTCTCATCTGGAACTTGTACCTCTCTGCCAATCCTTGCTTAAAGAGTAGGCTTTGGTGACCATATTTGTACCCCTGCTTCCAACCTATTCCAGCCACAACTCATTGACTGAGGATTATATAACTAACCTCGGAGAGGAGGGCACAATTCTTTGGGTGAGCAACAAATAAGTGTCTCTCATAAATTTGAACTAAGAGATAAAGAACAGAAATGACTTAATTGGAAAAGTCACATAGACTTAGGACTTGAATGGGTTTTCAGCCTTGCTGATGAGCAAGCAAAGAAAGTCTATCCATGTAGAGACTCAAGTTAATGAGGGGAGATTTGTAGGGAAACCCAGAGACGAAGGATCTCATAGGTCAGGGTAGACTAGTAATGGCTGTCCAGTTCCATATCCAATTCCAGTGTAGACATGTTTAGTTTGCAGCATAGTCCCTTGTGTCTTATTCTTTCAGTAACCCTCCTGTAGTGGTTGGAGTTGGTTGGCCGTGAGGGAGAGAAAGCTCAAAATAATAATGACTTGAAAAAAAAAATTTATTTCTCTCACATAAAAGTCATAAAAAGATGATAGGGCAACATCTTGAAATTTTCAGGAGACTCAGATTTCATCTCTCGTGATAGTATATCATCCATGGCATGTGGCTTCCACCTCATGGTGTCCAGGATGGCTGCTCAGGCTTCAGCTATCTTGTCTGCATTCTAGCCAGTAAAAAGGAGGAAGAAGTGAGGAAGAGGGCATCCTTTTCCTATAAGGACACTTCCTAGAGATGGCACACAATTCCATTTACATCCCCTTGGTCAACGCTTGGTCGCATGGCTATATCTAGCAGTAAGGCAGATAGCCATGTGATCAGTCAAAAAATTGAATGTCTTATTTCTGTGGAAAAAGGAATGAATACATATCGAAAGACAACTGCCAGTCTCTGCCGTATGCACTTGTATTTGTTCTAACTTCAGTATTTCTGTTTCTTGCTAGTTTTTCTAGATAGATCTGGAGTTTAGCAGAAATAGATTACTATTTAATCCTCCTAACAACCCAATGAGGTAGGCATTACTATTATATCCATTTTATTTTGGGGAAATCAAAGCTTAAAGGATTTAGATGACTTGCCTAAGTCACACAGCTAGAAATTGGTGGAGCCAGGGTTAGAACCAAGGTATGTCAGGTTCCCATGTCCAAACCATTAATCACCATGATAGTGAGAGGGGCAGAGAGCCAAAGGCAGGTTCTTAGGAATGGCGACATTTGAAGGGTGTGGAAGAAGAAGAGCCCAGGAAGAACACAGAGAAGGAAAGGCTGGAGAGGTAAGAGTAAAAACAGGAGAAAGTGATATCACACAGCAGAGAAAGGAAGCACTTTCAAGAAAGGAGCAAACAGATATTGTAGAGAGATCATATATAAAAAGAACAGAAACATGTCAGTTGGATTTGGTATTTTGAGGGTCATTGTCAACTGAGTTTGAGTACAGTGGTAAGAGCAGAAGCCAAAATACAGTGGTTTGAGGGGTGAAAGACAAATTAGAAAGAGGATAATAACATGAGGGGGATATGGTGGCATCAAAGGAAGGTTATCTTTTATCTTTATTTTTAAGGACAGAAACATCTTGAGCTAAGGATAAGACATTAGTACTGAGGGAGCTAATGAGCTTACAGAAAAGAAAAAGCTTTCTTGAGGAAGCAATATGGAGTGGGATCTAGAACATAGGTAAAGGGATTAGCTTTGGTCAGGAGAATGGAAAGATCTTCCACTGAGAAAGGAAAGAGGACAGATGTCTAAAGATGAGGGTTAGTATGTTGGTGGTAGTGGAAGAAGCTGACATGATGATGACCTTAGTTTTACTAGTGCTGTGAGAGAAAAGGTGATCTGCCAGAAGAGGGGAGAGGTGAAATTTGGAGTTTGACAGGACGGGTGGAAGTTCCAAATAGTTGCTGAATGAAATGGTAACAGAAGCTGGCAAAGAATGCATAGAATGACTATGCAAGTAGAGAAACTTGGCTCAGGCTGCAGACCATGAATTTGTAGTGGCTCTAGTCTGCATGCTTGTTTTATTTTTGTCTACCAGCACTCAGCAAACTAAAATAGGTAAAGAATAGTCAAGTGGTTAAACTGTTCCAGAGCTGGGATTTTCAAGGAAGGTGGGACAAGGAGCAAGATAATTGGGGACATTGATGAGAGACTTGAAAGGATCAACAATTGGGTCCAGGCTTGAGGGGGACATAAGTGAAACCAAAGAGTATCTGGTAGTTTGAGAGGATGTAATGGTCCAGGGACTGGAGATCTCACTGTCATTGTAGAATAAATATAGTTTAAGAGAGCAACAACTTCACATCCATTAGTATGACTATTATTTCTGTTTTTATGGTACTTCCTCAAAAAGTTAAACACAGAATTATATATCCAGCAATTCCATCCCCAGGTATATAACCAAAACAATTGAAAGCAGACATTCAGACAGATACTTGTACACCAGTATTCACAGTGGTGTTATTTGCAATAGTCAAAAGGTGGAACCAACCTAAACGTCCATCAACAGATGAATGGATAAACAAAATACATATGATGGAATATTATCCAACTTAAAAAGGAAGGAAATTCTGATACATGCTATAAAATGGATGAACCTTGAAGACATTATGCTGAGTGAAATAAGCCAGAAACAAAAGGACAAATATTGTATAATTCCCTCTATGAGGTACCTGAAACAGGCAGATTTATAGACAGAAAGTAGAGTAGAGATTACCAGTGGCTGGGCGAAGAGGGAAATGAGGAGCTATTGCTTACTGGGTACAGAGTTCATGTTTAGAGTAATGAAAAATTCTGAAAATGGATAGTGGTGGTGGTTGCACAACATTGTGAATATACTTAATGTCACTGAATTCTACACTTGAGAATGGTTAAAATGGTAAATTTTAGATTTCATATATTTACCACACATAAAAAGAAAGCAGGAAGTATGGAAGGTGGTGGTGAGAGTGGGACATTTGGAGTTTAGGATTGCAGGATTTCAGCAGTGGTTCAGGTTATGACAAGGGCTGGGATGTAGCCATGGGAATGGATGGCCGAGTAGAATGGAGATTAAAGATCACTGGCTTTGGGGGGTGGTCAAGTCTAGGAGCTCAGATGAGTCATGCACTTGGATATTGACCTGCAGCCTACACTGTCCTCCTGACCAGCAAGCCTCCTCTTCCTGTATCCCTGCTTACCCTCCGATGCCCCCAAATCTCCCAGAAGCCAAGGATCCAAAGGAATCCTTAATATCCCCCATCCCTTTTTCCTTTCAACTTCCTCCAACTTAAGGCTCCACACCTACAACATGGGGGGATTATGCTACTCCCTGGGGGCAAGCAACCTACAGTACAAGAGTTGTAATAATTCAAACACTTATTTTCTAATTACAATCTCGTCAATTTGTCACAACAGTATTTAACATTTTGATGTCTTTGCTTCCAGTCTTTTCCTTGTGTGTCTGGTGTTCACATAGTTGTAATAATACTTTTGCATTCTGCTTTTTCTCTTATCATTATAACATAAGCATTTTTCCATATTGCCAAGTGGGCCTCCCAGGTTGCTATGTACTCCTAGTGTCTTGGGCTCTCTGATACACAGGACCAAAACCACGAGTAACTGAATAATGCTCAGAGACCTTCTAGGGAGAAGGAGGATATGAGTGGGGACCAGATGATGGGGGTGGGGGTGGGGGAGCACAAGAAGATTTATAGCTATAAGTCATGGGGAGGGCACATGGGGGTACAAAGATTCAGACCAGGGTCCTTTTTTCTTTCAGTATGAGTATCAGATGATAATTAAAATTCTATATATCATCCACTGAAACTGTTGATGTGAAAATGATGAGACTCTGGAAAACTTAGCAAGAAAGAAGAAAAATGAAAAAAATATAGTTTTGCTGTTAAAAAAACAAAAGTGAAGGTAATTATGTGGACTAGCTGCAGTAAAATAATAATTATGCTTATCACTATAATTCTGGTCAGATTAACTTCATTAAAAGTTGTTTGATTATAACAGAGAGTCTTATTCATAGTTAATGGTTCTAGTAACACAGATATCACTTCATCAGTCAGCAGACATTTCTTTCACCTACCGGGTAGTGCAAGTTGACTACGTTCAACTTAAAAAAATTAAAGACAGTATTGATGTCAGTCTTAGATCAAGAAGTTCAGAAGAAAGCTGCATGACTTAGAAGTCAACAAAAATTATAATACACATTCTGTGAGCGAAATAACTCCTTGATAGTACCAAATTAGTGGGCTCTCTACCTTCCAGAGGAGTCCTTTTATTTCTAAATATTTAGTAGAAGGAACAAAAGCTTTTTTTGAATTTATAACATTGCAAGGGGCCTTTGGGAGATTTTCAGGTTATTAAATTGTAAGCTTAAGAACTAGGCAGACAGGAAAGCTTGTATTTTTTAAAACACTCTACCATACATTTGCATTATATATATCGTGTCGTTTCTTATTATAAAAGCTGTTCAAAGCTTTAATTTTTTTTGTAAGCTATTTTTTGTAAGTGTTCTTTGTAACTGGATACATAACCACTAGTTAATAGGGAAACTAAACTATACTTTTTAGAGAATCTAATTCTAGGCATATATGCATATCAGATTTCTTGTGCGCTCAGTTGTGTGTGTGTGTGTGTACGTATGCATATGCTTATCTCTTCTATCAAGGGAAAAGTTCAGTTCAAAGACGTACTTCACCATCTCAAGAAAGAAGGGATTGAACCCCTTGCTACTGCAGAAGAACAACTGTCTTTTATCTGGTGCTTATTCTAGCACGATGAAGACAGGCTGAGGGCTGCTACCAGAAATCTAGAAGAGCTTTCGGTGAAGCACATGGAAGAAATGAAAGAAGTAAGACTAAAAACATAAAGTTTTAAGATATCTGTGGCTTTGTTCATTGTCTTTTATTAAATTAGCACATTAAAAACCAACATTTGAATTTCATCCACTAACCAAACTATAATGGGGTGAAAGAGATAAATGTCATTAGTTTGAAAATATTTGTAATAAATTATAAATCATTTTAAAAAACCCCAACATTTGAATATCAGTGTATAGTCTGCAAAGCATTCACATGTACATTTTTTTTCATGAAATATATCGACAGTCTATATTGGTTTCCAATAGAGTACGTATACAGGAGGTTGCCCAGAGATGATTAGTTGAATATCCAAATAGGTCTGCTCAATGTGGCTTTCATTATCTTGATAAATTCCTCCTTGTCTCAATAACTGACCCTCTGGCTGACTCTCTTGCTTGTCAGCTTAGAAACCTGATTAGTCAGCTTACTGTGAGTGGGTCTGCTTCTCAAAGGGGGGCTTGTATTAACTAAACTCACAGAGAAGTTTATAGAAAAATAGACATCGACTTAGTAACTGACGATAAAAAATATAATTGCCAGAGGAATCATTCACATATGTCCTGTGGCTAATGCATTCTCTCCCTACAGGTGCACTGCATGGGAAGCCAAATTTTAATCAGATGTTTACTTGGTGAACAAATGATTCTAAATTTTTATAGCACTGGCTAAGATAGCCAGATTTTCACAATAGGGCTATCTATACCTGCCCTTGTTTCTGGACGTGTTGTATCTAGGACCAGGGTACCTAGCCCTTAGATGGGTAGATAATGGCAATTTTTTACTCTTATCTCTTTGTGATATTTCCAGTACTAATCAACCTACTTTCTTATATATTCTCAGTTTAAATGAGTTAATTCTCTCAGGTTGCTTGGGAATCGCTCTGCTGAGTTTCCAGATCTCAGTCCAGATAGATAACTTGATTTTTAAATTTACCTCTTAGAGGGCAATCTGATTTCCAAACTCTTAAAGAGGAATGCAGCTTCTTTAGAACATAAGCAGTGTAGCATAAGAGACTGTGAACTTTAACGTTGGGCAGATGGGGGTGAAAAAATGCCATTAGCACTATCTCTCTGTATAACCTTGGGCAAGTAACTTATTTGAGCTTGAAATTCCTCATCTGTAAGATGGGGATAATAATAGTTTCTTGAAAGAGATTTGTGAGGTTTACACAAGGCAATGTGTATAAAACATTTTACACATGTACTTGGTACCTAATAAGTAGTCAATAAATTGTAGCTATTATTATTAGAAATAGGTACTACTGTTCCTGCCATTTTAAAGAGGAGGAAACTGAAATTTACCAGGAAGTTATAAAGTTGGACTGCAGTCCTGTGTTTCTTCTACTATACCATTCAGCTTTTTGTTCATTTTCTGAGGAGTTGTACAGTAGGCTTCAAAACAATTCAGCAATATGCAGTTCAGTTATTTTGGTAGTCTAATTCTAAGCAATTTGGCACAGTAAGAGCTCAGTCTCAGATTCTGGCCCACCCGAGTGTGAAGTGTGGCTCCTCCCCTTATGCCTTGTGTGACAAGACAAGTCCCTTCGCCTGTCTCAGCCTGCTTCCTCACCTTCAAAGTGGGAGGATAACAGTCTCAAGGGTTGTGGTGAAAGTTAAATATTTGATGTCCCTAACATAGTGCCTGGAGCACATAGCTAGCTCTCAATCTATTTTTATTAGCCACATAAAAGTGAGGCTGTCGTATTAACCAGAAACTTTTGAAAGAATACCCAATAATATAATACAATCTCCTATTAACATTTCAGACATTTTAATCATCAGTTTTGGCATAGGTGTATAAACATAATTATTGTTTAGATTTTTCTCTGTTCATGGGTATCATGACCATATTTCCTAAGCTGTAGATAAGGAGATTTGATTTGAAAACTGATATATTAATGGAAAAAGTATTAAAAATTGTGGCTGTCTCATGAAATTTGTGTTATGTGTCATCATATCTATGGGAAACAATGTCTGAAAACAGAAAACAGCTGGAAGAAAGTTTAGAGAGAGAGACCCACACTTAAGGAAAGCTGAGTTTTCTGTTTATTTCTCAGACTACAGACATGATAATATGGTGATCTCTTAATGGCTCTGTCACTTAATAGAGTTTTAATGTGAGTTAAAATATGCACCATGGACTAAAAGTAAGAAAATATATTATTTTCTTTTTAGGTGGAAAATTGTGCAAACCATGTCTGTAACTTAACAGAAGAAAGAGAAGGATTTTCTAGTGGTTATGAAAAGGAAAACGAACAGCTTAGACATGAGTTTAAAGAGCTCCAAGTCAAACAGGGTAACTTTTCTCATTGTAAAAATGTAAATTTAATTTTTTTCTGATTCTAAAAATTAACATGTGACAGTTATAGAAAATTTGGGAAGGGAAAAAATTGCTATATATCCTCCACCCCAAGAAAAGTACTTGTAGTGTTTTAGGTGTATTTTTTGCCTGTCTTTTTGAAGTATATGTTCTGAAATACTGTGAAACATGTGTGCAAGGGTGCGGAATGGTTATTTCCATCAATGTCTGTTGTAGCACTTACCACGCTGTGTCATAATTACCTGTGTCAGTTCCTCTGGGGCAGAGAGTATGTCCTAGTCTTAGTGGTTTCTGAGTTCCCCACAACACCTGCCTTGTAAAGTACCTAGTGTATTAAGGACTCAGGAAATATTTATTAAGTACTACAAAGCTATAAGAGAAGATACAGATAGGACCCCTTTATAATATTCTACTTTGCTTAGCTCCACAAATTAGATATTATTATATGCAGCCAATGATTATTTATATTTACTGTATGTTTCTTAATTGCTCAGCATTTTTCTTGCAGTTCAGATACTCTATTTGGGATCATTTTCCTTTTAGAACTTCCTTTCACGAGGGTCTGTTGATGGAAAAGTTTTCTTCTTTATTTTGAATCTTAGATGCAGAGAAGGTTGAGTTAATCATAGGACATACTGCACGTATTTCTACACTTTTTTTTTTTTGAGGAAGATTAGCCCTGAGCTAACATCTGCCGCCAATCCTCCTCTTTTTGCTGAGGAAGACTGGCCCTGAGCTAACATCCGTGCCCATCTTCTTCTAGTTTATATGTGGGACACCTACCACCGCATGGCTTGCCAAGCGGTGTCGTGTCCGCACCCAGGATATGAACCGGCGAACCCCAGGCCACTGAAGCAGAACATGCGCACTTAACCACTGCGCCACTAGGCCAGCCCTATTTCTACACTCTTGTTTTTGTTTGTTCTTTCTTTCTTGTTTTCCACTGGATATATTGAGTTTTCTTCTGCTGGTTTAAAAGTTTGCTTTCTATATTTGTTCATATAGTGGTTACATTTTAAGAGTTTTCTCTATTTTTTTCTGTCATTTTTAGTTATTCTCAGGAGGAGGGTTGTTCAGGGCTTTAATCTGCCAAACTACAAGAAACAAGATGCTGTATGTCCTGCCTCCAACACCAATTAGCTGGTGAAGGACTGGTGAATAGGGCAGTGGTGTCATTATCACGTGGAAGTTCATGTACAGTTCTCCTAGCATGTTAATGATTTGGGCTACCAGCAAGCCTTGAAGTTTAGACACAAGCCCATTCATTCCGCATTCTTCTTCTGGGCTCAGTTTGGCCACATTTTGCCTCAGAAGTGCTTATTGCAAAGATATCCCTAATCCTTGTACATTTTGCCTTTGTTTCCATAACTCTGCAGACTCCTGCTCACCTGTACAGCAAGCTTGATTTTTTTCTAAAAAAAAGGATAAAATCCTCTATTTACTATAGTATTATTTTATTTTTTAAGAACTTGCTCTTTAAATATACCTGTATAATTATTAGAATTGTCATTATCTGTTGTAGCACTCTACACAATGACAAAGGTTTTGAGTACTCTACACCAATCTGTTTGTTCGATAAGCTCTACTATTCTTAGTGAGCAATTTTGCAAAATACGAGGTTTTCTTTATTAGAAACACATATGTCAATCACATCAGAATGCTCATGTAACTAAAGGATATCTTTTGAAGGTAGAGCTAACATGATTTGATAATAGGTTTAATGTTGGGTGGGAGAAAAGCAGAGAAGTCACTGGTGACCCAAAGTGTTTTGGCCTGAGCAGTTAGAATAGTGGAGTTCCTAACTGCTCAGACGGGGGAGACTGTGGGAGGTCCCTTTGGGGGAGATAGTAAAGAGTTGGCTTTTGGACATGTAAATTTTGAGGTGTATATTAGACATCCAAGTGGAAATGTCAAGTAGGCAATTGTGTGTGTATCTGGAATGCAGCAGTAAAGATGTAAATTTGAGAGTCATCAGCATAGAGCTAATACCTACAGGCTTGAAACCAAAGGAGATAACATAGGAAGTGAAAAGAAGAAAAAAAGATTCAGAGCTGAGTCATTCTAGTGTTTAGAGGTTGGAAAGGTGAGAAATCAGCAAAGGAGTGTGAGGAGTGGCAAGTGAGGGAGGAGGAAAACCAGCAGGGTGTGGTGTCCCAGAAGAGAAATAAAGAAAGTGTTTTAGGAAGAGGATGGGAACAACTGGGTCGGACACCTCTGCGGGGCTGTGTGCAATGAGGACACATCACTGACCATTGGATTTGGTCACACGGAGGTCATCAGTGACTTTGAGGAGAGCTGTTTCTGTGTGGTGGTGGATATGAAAGCCTGACTGGAGTGAATTCAGGAAAGTGTGGTAGGAGAGGAGGAGGGGGCATGGCTGTGGTTGACCCTTTCTTGAATTGTGCTGTAAAGGGGGATGAAGAAATGATGCAGAAGCTGGAGGGAGATATGAGGTTGAAGGAAGGTCTTTTGGTGTTGTTTTCGCCATTGTTATTTTTAATGGGAGATATTATAGCATGTCGCTAAGATGAGTACAATGCTTAGTTGGGAAGAAAGCTTGAGGAGGCAATAGAGAGAGCAATCAGTTGGCAAGAGTGTTGTCTTTGAGGTAAGAAAGAGTGGGATCCAGTGCACAGGGGAGGGCCTGGCCTTAGGAGCAAGGGTAGTTTGTTAAATCTCACGAGAGGGAAGAGTATGTGGGAACTGGCACATTTGGCAAGCGGAACTTGTGGAAGTTCTCTTCAGAGTGCCCTCTTTCCTCAGTGAAATCAGAAGCAGGGTGTTCAGCCGAGAGTGAGGATGGGGAAGATGTTGGAGGCTCGAGGAGAGAGAGGAATGAAGTAGTGATCTAGATCTCTGCACAATGAGAGGTGACCAAGGAAATGAAGGAGGATGGCTAGGCAGCAACAAGGGCCCACTTCAGTCAGCACTGGCTGTGCAGTTTTCTCCAGCCACGTTCATTTTCTGAAGTGAAGTGCAGAGGAGGTGAAGAGTTGAATTTAAACAGATTGGAGTTTTGCCAACCAAGTATAATGGAAGAAAAGAGGGGCAAGGGAGTTGTGAATGTTTTTAAGGGAGCAAGTATAATCATAGATTATAGACTCTAAGCTCGATAAGAAAATAAATGAGAACAGGAGCGGGTAAGGAACATTGAAAAGTGTTTAAAATCAATAGATTATAGATTCCAGTATGGTCGAAAACTTGTTGAAATTGAGCTACTAGAAGTACATGGAGAGGGATGATGCGGCCATAGGATGCCTGAAACTGAGACTGAGGAGAGGCTACAGTTATTGCCAATGACGAGGGCTAGGGAATTACTATGGAGTAGGTGGCTGAGATGGGGTAGGGGACCAGATCTTTGGAAGTTAGCTGGTGAAGGGACTGAGAAGCCAGGGCGCTAGAATAATTATCTCCCTGAATATTGAAATCACCAAGAACTTTGGCAGGATTAGTTGAGTGACCCTGTATAGGTTTTTTGTCTTCTTGGTACCTGAGTCCTCATCTCATAAAAGGGATAATCATGGTTCCTACCTCACTGGGTTGTTGTAAGGATCAAATGAGATAAATTTATCTCAAATGCTTCGTACAATACCCGCTGCATAGGAAGCAGTTAATAAAACAACAAAGTTTAAAGTTATGCAAGAAAAAATTTTAACCTTATGAAAGTAGTAATAATATCTACTGCTTTTGAGAACGTTTTCACACTACTAATTTTGAAAGTTTGCAAACACCCTGGAGAGATGGGGAGAAGAGTGATAGTATCGGTATAGCTTACTTTTTAAAATTAATTTGTTATCTAATTAAGAACTCTTTTAACATCTTATAGAACAATCATTTGCCTGTATGTCTTTTAAAAGTTTTATTTCTGTTATTTCTTCCCAACAGAGGCAAAAATAAAGGAGGTTGAAGAAATGTTGTATCAAGAAGGCTTATCTGATATAGCTCTGAGCAGCCCCAGTGAACAGACTGCGTACTTACTGGTGGAAAGAAGTGCACTCTTGAGGAAACTGGAACTTGGGGGCCCCAAGGCAGAGTCACAAAGATGTATGAGCAGTAACCTACTGAAAGAATTTCCCCAGGTATTCCAAAATTAACTAGATAATTGAATAAGAGGCAGGCCAGTTTTTAAATGCATTTGTTCATTTAATCATTCATTCATTCAAATATCAGAAAGCCAGTGTAACAGTGCTTAACAACACAGGCTTTGGGTTTGGATGGACTTCCTCTGCCACTTGTTAGCACTATGTCCTTCAGCAAGGTAGTTAACTTCTGTGAGCCTTGATTTCCACATCTATAAAATCTGGGATCAACTTAACTAAACCAAAAGATGATCATGAAAATGAAATAATGTATATAAAGCTCTAGAACAGTACCTCACACTTTAATTAGCATGATTGTTTTTATTTATTGGGAACTTACCACATACCAAGCTTGTGCTAGTGGATGTAGAAACGAAGTCAGATTAGACATGATCTGGTCTTGCAAGAAACTTACAGGCTAATAAAGGAAAGAAATAAACCAGCGGTTATAGTTCAGTTTCAGTGTGGAAAGTTCTATGATGAGGGAAACTCGGGGGAGGGGCTAAGTCAGGATGGGTAGAAAAGACTTACAGAAGACGTGATCTTGAGTAGTAGTTTGAAAGCTGAGTAGGTGTTAGCTAGATGAAAAAGCTGGGAAAGGCATTCCTGGCAGAGGAAACAGTGTACAATACATAGTGGTTCATGTGAGTGAGTACTGAGAAATGTGGCTGGAGATATTTTCAGGAACTATGTCATGGTGAGACTCATATGCTAAGCTAAAGAGTTTGGACTGAGCACCCAGCAATGTTCCTGGACCATACTAGAGGCATAAAAATATTTTGAATGTACAAATGATTGACTTTGATATAGAAGGTCTGGAGAGTCACTGAATGATTTTAAGAGGAGAGTAACATGATCTGATTGGTATTCTAGAAAAATCAGTCTGGTCACAGTAGAAGGATGGATTGGATAGGGGCCAGACTGGAAACAAGCATTTCAGGGGATTATATAGTAAGTAATTAAAGAATGAGAACCAAAAACAAGGCTCAGAGTGTAAACAGAGAAAGGAAGATGAACTAAGGAGTTGTGAAGGAGATGGAATCTATAAAACAAACTGGACATTGTGGGGTGAAGTCTTGGATGACTCTAAGGCTGTCTATGCAGTCACTGTTAGGTCATAGTTTTGCCACTAACAAAAAAAATTAAAACAGATTCAAGAAAGATTTTTTATTAGAAAATGTAACTCTTAAAATTTCTGTGGCGTCCTCAGTTATATTTTGAGCTAATTTACCTGAGAATAAAGTAATCAGCAGAGTCACTTTTCTTGTAGAAACTGACACGCTGACTCTAAAATTGATTTGGAAAGACAAAGGACCTAGAATAGCCAAAACAACTTTGAAAAAGGAAAACAGAGTTGGAAGATACACACTTCCTGTTTTCAAGACTTACTGTAGAGCTGCACTAATCAAGAAAGCGTAGTATTGGTGTAAAGATAGATGTACAGATCAATGGAACAGAATAAAGAATCCAGAAATAGGCCCACACCTATATAGTCAATTGATTTTTAACAAGGGTGCCAAGGTCATTCAATGGGAAAAATATAACCTTTTCAACAAATTATGCTGGAACAATTGGATAGACATATGCAAAAAAACCCAGAAACACCCCAAAACCCTCAGCTCTGTTGAAATTCCCTTCCCCACTGATGAAGGAAAATTTCCTTATCCTAAATACTAAGAGATGGCTGAACACATGACACCCAACACTGAACAGAGATAATATTGTTAGTTTATTAGCAACATATGCTCACAGCCCAGAGGAGGAGGATACTGCCTACCATGCAGGGCCAGAAGGGGTTGTACTCAGGAATAGTTGAACTCATAGGGGCTATAGGAGGCAGACCTTGTAGTAACAGTAGGGTGAGGTGCCCCCTGGTTCCCATGGGAGGATATAAATGGCTTGGTCGAAAAATTCCACAGGCTGGCAGGGATATGAAACCCATTAGACTGAGGACTGAGTGGAGTACAGCTGGCCTGGCTGATAGGGAACTAGCTGGGTGGGGAATCTTTCCTGTTGGATGGGGGCATATCTGTCAAGAGCAGGGCAATTCATGATTAGGCCTTTGTGCACTGTGAGGCTCAAGGATGTTAAGGCAGCACATGAAATTTTAGGCCTTACGATACACTTATCTAACGCCGTATGCAAAAATTAACTCAAAATTGTTCATAAATCATGTGGGAGATAAAATTCATAGAAGAAAAAATGGCTCATAGATCATGTAGGAGATAAAATTCACAGAAGAAAATCTTAGTGATCTTGGATTTGGCAAGATTTTCATAAGACAGGAAAAACACAAAGTATAAAAGAAAATAATAAATCGAACTTCATAAAAATTCAGATCATTTGTTCTTCAAAAGACACTGTTGCGAAAATGAAAGAGCAAGCCATAGACTGGGAGGCAATATTTAAAAAAAAATCCAGCAAAAGCTTCACACCTAAATATATAAATAACTTTTATAACTCAATAATAATAACATATACGACCCAGTTAAAAATGGATAAAAGATTTAGACACTGTACCAAAGAAGATAGACAAATGGCAAATAAATACATGAAAAGATTCTTAACTTCATTTACCATTAGGAAAACACAAATTAAAAATCACAATGAGGTACCACTATATATGTACTGGAATGGCTAAAATTATAAAGACTTAACCATATCAAGTGTTGGTGAGAATGAGAAGCAACTAGAATTCTCATATTCTACTGATGGAAGTGTAAAATGATCCAACCACTTTGGAAACTAGTTTGGCATTTTCTTAAAAAGTTAAATATATACTTGTACAACCCTGCCATTCCACTCCTAGGAATATGCTCAAGAGAAATGAAAGTGTGTGCCCACATAAACACTTATACATGTTATAGCAACTTTAATTGTAATTGCCTCAAACTAGAATTAACAGAAATGTTTATCAACAGGTAACTGTATAGATCTATACAATGGAATATTACTTTTAGTAATAAAAAAGAATGAACATTCCGCAAAATGGATAAATCTCAAAATAACTATCTGAGTGAAATAAGCCAGACAAGAAAGAGTACATAGTCTATGATTTCATTTATATAAAGTAGTAGAAAATGCAAACTACTGTCTAGTAATAGAAACGGATCAGTGGTTGCCTGGGGACAGTGATGGGGGAGGAACGGATTATAAGGAAGCAAAGGAAACTCTTGGGGGTGGTAGATATTTTCATGACCTTGATCGTGGTGTTAGTTTCATGGATGTTTATGTAACCAAAAAAATTGTTCACTGTAAATATGTGCAGCTTATTGTATGTCAATTATACCTTTAAAAAGCTTTTAAAAAAGATTTTCCAAAGACGGTCTTGTTATTATGAAATGTAGCTTGTAAAAATTCCGTTGCCTCCCTAGTTATATTTTGCATAGGCGAATATTGAACTCACCTGTGCATAAAGTAGTTGAAAGAGTCATTCCAACTGAAATGGAGCCACATATGATGACTTGGAAGCCCAAGGAATTTTGCAAGTCCTGATCTACATGCTAATTACATTCTACTTTGTTTTTATTTTGTTGGTTTTCTAACTTAATATAGGCATGTAGTAAAAAAAAGAGTCAAGCAATATAAAATTGAATAAAAAGTGAGTTATTTTCTCACCCCAAATCCTCAGGTCCAGACTCCTAAGCTACCACTGCCAATAATTTTTTATTTATCCTTCCAGAAAATTTCCATCATTTAAAATACAAATTATATTCCATTATGCATATTGTTTTCACTTTGTAAACAGTGCATATAGATTTACCTTAGTCTTTTTGACAACTTATATATTCTCTTGAATGGACGTATCACAATTTATTTAACCACTTTATTGTTGGATGACAGAGGGTGAAGGGATGACATTTAATGCCAGGAATAATCAAAGATTTAAAAAAACATTTTATTATGGAATATCATAATGTATATGCAGAAAAATGATAAAACTTAAAAGTACATTTTAACAAATAGTTATAGAGCATACACCCATGTAACCACTGGCCTTGTTAACAATACAGCATTGCCAACTCCCTGGAAGCCTCCTTTTCCGATCATCACCTCCCTTCTCCTCACCAAGGAATGCAAACCTAAATAATATGTACAGTAGTTTAATTTTGCCTATTTTTGAACATTATATACAATCAACTTTGGGAATTGCTTTTTTGTGAAACATTATTTTTGTGTTATTTATCTTTTAAAAATTTTGCGTGTGTGCTTTTTTTTTTTGGTGAGGAGGATTGGCCCTGAGCCAACATCTGTTGCCAATCTTCCTCTTTTTTTCCCTCCCCAAAGCACCAGTACATAGTTGTATATCCTAATTGTAAGTCCTTCTAGTTCTTCTATGTGGGATGCTGCCACAGTGTGGCTTGATGAGTGGTGTGCAGGTTTGTGCCCAGGATCCGAACTGGTGAACCTCAGGTCACTGAAGCAGAGCATGCAAACTTAACCACTCAGCCATGGGGCCAGCCCCTGTATTATTTGTCTTTAATCAACTTGTCATTGCTATATATTATTCCATTGTGTGAATATATGACCTGACACTATCCATTCTATGTTAATTTGGGTTGTTTCCAATTTATACCTATTATGAATGTACTATAGTTTATCAATTATGCTGCTGTGAGTATTCTTACAAATGTGCATGCATCATGTAGGATATATACCTAGGAGTAGATTTAGGGAAGTGTAGAGTATGTAGATCTTCAGCTTTACCAGATATTGTCAAACTGTCTTTTTAAGTAGTTGTACCAATTTATAGTGGCACCCATAGTGTGTGAGATGTGCTCCTCATCAATACTTGATATTGTCGATCTTTTATGTTTTTGCTAAACTATTGGATGCATAATGATATCTTGCGTTGGTTTTAATTAGTATTTCCCTGATTGCTAATGAATTTAGTATGATTATTGGTCATTTGGATTTCCTATTTTGTTAATACCTGCTCAGATCTTTTGTCCATTTTAAAACTGAGTTGTCTGTGTTTTTCTTACTGATTTATAGAAATTCTCTTTATGTTCTGGTTTCAAGTCCATTGTTGGTTGTGTGTATCGCCAATGCTTTGTCTCCCACTCTGTGGCTTGCCTTTTTAACATTCTTAATAGTGCCTTTTAATGAATGGAAGTTCTTAAATTTAATGTAGTTAAATTTATCAATCATTTCTTTTATGGTTAGTGTTTTTCTGTCCTGTTTAAGAAATTCTTATCTTCTGGAATTCTGATTTTTGGTTGCTTTGAATTTGTATATCAATTTAAGAGGAATTGACTATCTTAAACTATTAATGTGGTCTGTGATCATGGAAATCTCTCCGTTTATTTTTTATTGTATATAAGTAAAGTTTTATAATGTTCCCCACAAAATCTTGCACATTTTTTTGTTACATTTATTCCTAGGTACCTCACATTTTGAATGCTATTAATGGTAAATGCTATCTTTATTTTTTTTTAGTGTAATTTTCTAATTATCTGTTGCTGGAATTAAAAGTATAATTTTTTTTATATTGGCCTATAGCTAGCAATGTTGCTAACATTTCTCATTTACTTTAATAATTTATTTGAAGATTTAAAATTTTTCTACGTGTACGATCATGTTATCTGAAAATAATAATACTTTTGTCCTTTCCAGTTTGTATTCCTTTTAATTCTTTTTCTTACCTTTCTGTACTGACTAAGATCTCGAATGAGTATCATCTTTTTTTTTTAAAGATTGGCACCTGAGGTAACAACTGTTGCCAGTCTTTTGTGTGTGTGTGTGTGCTTTTTCTCCCTGAATCCCCCCAGTACATAGTTGTATATTTTAGTTGTGGGTCCTTCTAGTTGTGGCATGTGGGATGCTGCCTTAACGTGGCCTGACAAGTGGTGCCATGTCCACGCCCAGGATCCAAACTGGCAAAACCCTGGGCCGCCACAGCGGAGCATGTGAAATTAACCACTCAGCCATGGGGCCGGCCCCAAGTATCATCTTTAATAGCAGATATACTTGTCTCATTATTGGTATCAGAGAGAAAGAATTCAGCAATTCACTATTAAGTATGAAGTTTGCTGAAGGCTTTTTTTTGATGATACTCTTTATCAGGTTAAGAAGAGTTTTTATTAGGAATCAATGTTGAATTTTAGAAAAATGTTTTTTCCATAGCCATTGAGAAGATGAAACAATTTAGAACTTTAATCTGTTAATGTAAGAATTTTGTTGGTAAATTTTTTAATGTTAAACCTATCTTCCATTGCTGGGATAAATCCAACTTTTTCATATATTATTTTTTCTAAATGCTAGTACATTGGGTTTGATAAAATTTTAAGATTTTTGCATCTATGTTTATAAATGAGATTGCCCTGTGACTTTTCTTTCTTGTATTATCTTTGTCAGCTTTAATATCAAGGTTTGTCTAGCCAGTGTTAGCCAACAGTTTTTCATTATTGCCTCCATAACCAGACTTTTCAGATGAGTTTGCTTAATTACTCCCCTATGAAATTTTAATGCTACTGATATAATCTATTTCTACTTATATACCAAGAGCAGGCAAACTATACCTTCTACATAAAAAGAGTAATTACTACCCCCTCCTCCAGGAACCAGTTTTCATGTCCTTGGGGATAATATTGTCTCATTGGAAATGTATAGTCTAGCCTCATAAAATGGTTTGGATTATGCTCCCTCTTTTTCTAGCTGGTTATTTTTTTTTATTTAAATGACATTTTTATTCATGAAGACGAATTGATGTAAGTTTCACTTATCTCTTGATATTTATTTAGGAGAAATTTGAACAAATCAACCAACCTCTGCAAAGAGAACATCAGAAACATCAGGAACCTGTGCATCTGTCTAAAGAACATCTGAGTGAGGTAAAAGAAAAATTATAATTATTTATTTAATAATAGTAGCTAATTACAAGGTAACTTTTACCTTGGAAGTATTTTTTGAATATATTAAACAGTACAGATTCATGCTGTAAAAATTATCAAATTGTGCATATAAGTATTATAAACATCACAAAAATTTGAGAAGAAAAAATCTATCATCTATTTAACACAATAGCTGATTTTTATTGAATGTATCAAAATTTAAACAATCAATGTATGTTATGTCCTTTGAAACATCACCTTGGGTCAGTACATATTTCTTCCCAAATATGTTTGGAGAGTTCTGGTCATCTGCTCCACTGTGGCTGAGCTCGCATTCTCTCTCGTGCCAGTTGTGGGCTCGCTGGTCGACATTACATGGTGTCAGAAGTGGGATCCAGAGGCGCTGACTACCAAGGAATGACAACCTCCAGAACTGAGTGAGGTTCCTGCACTTGAACCTTCTGTGCTCTTTGCTTCTGCGGGTTCCATAACTTTCAGTTTGCCTGCTCTTGGTAAATGAAGACATCAAACACCACACTTTACAGCCTGGAGACTTCATCTTTTGGGAAAAGGCATCTCCATAAAGACTCCCTCTAATCTTGTTGGAAGGGCCCCAATCAGGTGTTGCTGACTAAGCCCTGTGCCACCAGGTTCTAAGGAATGGACTTCTGGATTCATGGGTCTTATCTAAAAAAGGCCCCCAAACCTGATTAGTGTTGACTTACAGCTAAGAATTTCTAAGGACTTGGGAGTGACATCAGCATCATGGCAGAGTGAGCTCTCCCTGTGAACTCTCCCCTCTAAGATACAACAAAAAGGACATTCATATTCCAACAGAGGACACCCACAAAACACAAAAGACATCTGAGAGACCCATGCAGCCATTCTTTGGAAGGTGGAGGCATTGGAGCCCCCCCCCCCCCCCCCCCCCAGAGGAAGTGGAACAAGGTAATAGAAATCTTCTCTTCCTCCCAAAGGGTAGTGACCCAGGGACTGTGAGTGGCTCCAAGAGGAAAGGGGGGAGGGGGTGATCCTCCGCGGGAATACCATTGCTCTTTGAGGCCCCTCACAGCCTGAGGGAAAGTCCAACACAGAGGTGACTTGCTATCACAGGAGTGTCTTCATCAAGCTAATACCCTAGGAAAGTAGAAGCCCCTGAGATGGCACATGAGAAAGAAACCCCCCCACCCAGCCCAGTGCCCCAATTCAGCAGCTGGGAGCTGATCCACAGATCACAGCAGGCTCAGAATACACAGCTCTTGACCCACACTCAGTGGTGGCAGGTGGAAGTGGCAATCAAATACTACCACAATGTAGAAGCACAAATCCATGCCATCTAGCAGTATGAATAAATATATTAAATCTCCAGACCAGAAGGAAAATGACAAGTACCCAGAAATCAATCCTGAAGGCACAGAAATATATAATCTAAATGACAGAGAATTCAAAATAACTATCATAAAACTCAATGAGTTAAAATAAAATGCAAATGGACAGTTTAAGGAATTCAGGAGCTACTTCACAAAAGAGATTGAAACTATAAAGAAGAACCAATCAGAAATATTGGAGATGAAAAACACAATGGATGAGATAAAGAAGACTATCAATTCCCTGAATAATAGAGCTGATATTATGGAGGAGAGACTCAGCAATATTGAGGACAGAAATATAGAAATGCTTCAGATGGAGAATGAGAGAGAACTAAGACTAAAAAGAAATGAAGAAATTCTCCAAGAAATATCCAACTCAATTAGGAAATGCAACATAAGGATTATAGGTATTCCAGAGGGGGAAGAAAGGAGAATGGAGCAGAGAGCTTGTTCAAAGAAATAACGTCCTAAACTTGGAGAAGGAGATAGAAATTCAAGTGAAAGAAGCCAATAGATCTCCTAAATATATCAAAGTAAAAGACCTACTGCAAGGCATACAATAGTGAAGCTAGCAAAAGTCAATGACAAAGAAAAATACTAAGGGCAGCAAGGCAGAAGAAAATAACTTACAAAGGAACCCCCATCAGTCTTTCAGTGGATTTCTCAGCAGAAACCTTACAGACTAGGAGAGACTAGAATGATATATTCAAATCTATGAACAACAAAAACTTTCAGCCAAGAATGCTCTATCCAGTGAAAATATCTTTCAGATATGATGGAGAAATAAGAACTTTCTGAGATAAACAAAAGATAAGGGAAGTTAATTGCCACAAGACCTCCTGTACGAGAAATCCTCAAGAAAGCCCTCACACCAGAAAACAAATGTTTGGAGCTCTTTTTTGGGGGAATCCTTTAGAATATACAGCACATTATTTTAAATATAATCAATTCTCTTCATGGAATTTAATTTTTTGATCTGGGGAAATGTTATGAAGAGCTAACTCCAGTGAATAAAGTATATATTGGGAATTTAACCCTGGGAAGTAACCCAAGATAAATATATATATGAGTGGAACTGTATATCATAGTATTCTTTTCAATAGCAAAAATTGGAAACTACCAAAATGTTTAAATGATCATATAAATTATGTTGTAGCCACTCTGAAACATTATATTGCCTTTAAAAATTATCATTATAGAATCTCTACAGCACTGTGGGAAAATGTTCCTCATATAATGTTAAATGAAAAAGCCAGACAGGAGCTTGTACATAGATTAGGATTATGACTATGTAAAAATGTATGTGAATAGAAACTACTGCAAGGAAATATATCAATATGCTAAAAGTGGTTTTGTTATGTAAGTGGTATTCTGGTTGTTTTCTTATCTTTTAGAAAATTTTGTATAATGGTTATATTTGTGTAAAACTAATGCATATTTTGGGGATCAAAAGCAAAATATAACTGAGACTGAATTTCTTACTTAGTTTTTAAAATGCCTTGAAAATAATTTCAGAAAATGATCTAAGCATGATTTGAGCCTTAAGTGTGTGCATACCTAGAAATTAAATGAAATACTTTATGAGAAAGCATTTTATAAACTGTATTTAATGTACCATATAAATGAGGAGTATTTTCTCTCTTTTTTTCCAGATGATACTAATTTTTATGATTAAATTTCTATGTATTTATAATCATATAACCATAATCTCTCAGATATGTTAGGTTGAATCATATGAAATTGCATGTTTATAGGTCAAAACAATTAAATATCACCAATTTTATATGGTTCAACCTAATAAAGAGATGCCCATAAATGAAATATTCTTTTGCTACTTTTCTTTATTGCTTTCAAACTTTTATAGAAAATAGCATGATGTCATAAGAGTATATTTACTTTTTGCTGTACTACTAAAAATAGTATTATTTCAGTCCCATAATGAAGACCTGGAAAAAGAGAAAGTATCACAAAACTGCCTAGAGAGAGATGTGGAACAAGAAGCAAAGAAGCTGGAAATGGCCCATGAAGAGATCCGAAGGCTCGCTGATGAACTACAAGGGAAGGAGAAAGAACAGAGTAAATCAGGTAAGCTGTGGTCACAGATGAACGTTTCCAACCATGTTTTAAGTGTAATGCTCTTTACTCAGGGGGAACCTGAGTGCACTGAGAGAAAAGTCTTTTAGGATAAACTCATCAAAGTCTGATAAGCAGCCTCATTTTCTACAGTGTCCTAAAACTTTTATTGAAGCATAAGCATAACATTACTACCAAAATGTGCACACCTCCTAAGTGTATACCTCCCGGCGCCCCAGAAGCCCCCTTTGTTCCTTCTCCCTGTGCCCATACTCTCTCCCCTCTCTAAGAGTAACCACTCTCCTGACTGGTAACACTCTTACTGAGTATTGCCTACAGGCAGTGTGCATTTTTTAGTTCAGTTTGTTTCTCTCATTCAGTCTTTAGTTTGTGGGATTCATTCACATTGTTACGTACAGCAGTAGTTTGCTCACTTTTGCTGTTTGCATAGTATTCCACTGAATAAACATACCACAACTTATCTTGTCCATTCTACTGTTGATAGACATTGTGTTGTTTTCAGTGGTGGTCTATTCTGAATAGTGCTGCTATGAATATCCTTGTCCTTATCTAGCATTTCCATTGTGATATACCTCAGAGTAGAGTTATTGGATCAAAGTATTATGGGTATGTTCTACTTTGGTAGATTACTGCCATGTGGTCTTCCAAATAGTAGTATTAATTTAAGCTCTCCTCAGTTGTATAGGAGGTTTTGCTTGCTCCGCATTCTTTGTCAATATTTGGTATTGTCAGTCTTATTAACTCTACCTCTTCTGGTGAGCATGTAGTAGTATTTATTGTGGCATTTATTTGCATTTCCCTGATGGCTAATGAAGTTGAAAACCCTTTCCTATATTTGTTGTATATTTCCTACATTGTTGTTGCTCATTTGGATATACTATTTTGTGAAGTTCCTGCTCAACCCTCTTGTATATTTTTCTATTGGGTTGTATCTCTATGTTTTATCAATTTGTAGGAGTTCTTTATGTATTCTGGGTATGAGCCTTTTGTTGGTTATAAATGTTATGTCAGGTTTTTGCAGCCATACAGAAATGCTAATATGTGTCAAGTCAGGTGCAACAGAAGTGTTTACAGCTTCTGGGTTTTCATGTGTAAAGCCTTTTCTATATCACTACAAGGTTATTTAAAATGTTCACCTCTGGTTTTGGGTTTTTTTTTTTACTACTTTTATGATTTCGTTATTTATATTTTAATCTTTGCTTTATCTATAAATTATTTTAGTATAAAGCTTAAAATTTTTGTTATCCCCTTTCTGTACTTACATTTTGTGATGAATAAAGAACTTAGACTGATTCTTCTTCAAATGCAGTATATAGGTTACTTTATGATCATATCTAAAAAATGTTAAATGTTTAAAACAGTAATGATTTTGCCAAATTAATTGCAGGATTAAAAACCAAGAATATCAGGAAGGATGAGATTTTGTTATTAACACATTTTAAACAGTGAACACAAATGAACTCTGTGGAATGATGGAATTGTTCTATATCTCATTTGAGTTGCTGGGTACATAATTTGTCTGTATTTGTGAAAATTCATCGAACTATACACTTAAAAAAGGATGAATTTTACTGTATGCAAATTATATCTCAATAAACCCAATTAGAAAAAAAAAGAAATTTGGCCATGTGAGTGTGATGAGAAGTAGTGTTTTCTACTTGCAATACAGAAGGAGAGAGGAAAAGCAGGACCCCCATTACTCTTAGTTACGTTTGAATACAACAGAACATAATCCTACAGCAGCCTGTTCCATTAGCAGTTGATTGGTCTGATAGATCCTAAACTGGTAAGTGAAAGCTATCTCCACAGTCAGTATACTGGGGGACTGGTGAGAAGCTGAATCAGCAAGTCCTTTTAAAATATCATATGTCATATCCATGTGTACCCTATGTGTAACTTCTTGAATCGTTAATTTATAGCCAGAATTTATTTCTAAGTATATGTGTTATACGATAGTGTTTCCCAAATTAGCCTATTTCTTTCAACTGACTCTTTTAAGAGCAGGGCTTTATTTTAGTTTATTCTCTGGTTCTCTGTCACATCCAAAAATTTAGATGAGAATGAAAAATTTTGGACAATAATAAAAATATTTTTCAACAATAAATTCAGGCCAGCCCTGGTGGTCTGGTGGTTAAGTATGATGTGCTCTGCTTTGGCAGCCCAGATTCGATTCCTGGGCATGGACCTACACCACTCTGTTAGCAGCTATGCTGTCCTGGCGACCCACATACTAAAAAATAAATGAAGATTGTCATTATCACAGATATTAGCTCAGGGTGAATCTTCCTCAGGAAAAAAAAAAAGAATAAAAAAGAATTCATGTCAAATATTTAGAGTATTCGTCAATAAATAAATTACAAGAAAAAGATGAATTTTAAAAGATTTAAGGGAATTATTAACCAAATATATTGTGTGGCCTTTAGTGGATTTTGATTCAAACACATTTTTAACATTTATGAAACAATTGGAAGTTTGAATACTTATTGGATGTTTGTATTAAGGAATCATTGTTAAATTTCCTTATTCTCACATAATGGTATTGAATTGATGTTTACACTTTGGAAAACAATTTGGCAGTTTCTCAAGATGTTAAGTGTAAAATTGTCATGTGACCCAGTGATTCCACTCTCAAGTATCTACCCAGGAGAAATGAAAATGTATGTCCACACAAAGACTGGTAGGTGAATGTTCAGAGCACTATTATTTACCATAGCCAAAAGGTAGAAATGACCCAAATGTCCATCAATTGGTGAATGGATGACCAAAATGTGGTGTATCCATTGTGTGCAGAAACTAGTTAACGTAGAAGCCCTGACACTGCCGTCCTTAGAAAGTCCTGCTTGTGCGGCTAGCCCTTGGCCAGCGTCTGGGAACTTGGATTTGGGGAGGGTTCCTGCCATTCCCAACTTATGATGGCTCCCTGTGCCTAAACTATTTGTACAAACAATGTGGTTTATGCTAAAAACCTGCTTTCCTTCTGAGAGTCTGGAATTTTGGTACGTCCTAGGCAGAAAGTGGTGTATATGTGACCAGCCCCCAATAAGAACCATTGACACTCTCTCTAATGAACTTCCCTGCCTGACAACTTTTCACACATATTGTTGGTTTTTGCTGGAGAAAAGACTCTTGGAACTTTGTGCCTGATTTCCTCTGGACTTCGCCCCATGCACCTTTTCTGTGTGATTAGGAATGATCTCCGACAAGATTCTTGTTAGTCCCTTACTTCTGCGAGATTCCTCATCCTGACGTCACAGGAGGCCTGTCAGCCATGTCACTGGTGTTGAGTAGACCACAGGAGGCAAAGTAATAAAACCTGGATTAGAGAACCCAAATCCAATCAACTCCAATGCCCCATGTTCCTTCCCTGTAGCATTCTGCCATCCTCATACAATTCTTGAATAGTACCAAAAGTTAGTTCCTGAAATTTTACTAGTTTGCTATGTCTAGCAACTACTAGCAAAATTTTTAATATTGTTAATTGCAGGAATAAATTTAAAGTATTTCTGAGTGTAATTTCTTTTTACTAAACTGGTAGTACCTTGCTTAAAAACTTCCAGCTGTTCCTGTTGTTTACAGTGGTTCAAACTCTTCAGCATAGAATCTGATTAGGGAAATAGGGAAGGATAACAAGAAAGATTACAAGGTTAGATGATCAGGGGTAAGGATAAATATAGAGTGAGGTAGGAACACTAAGAGGTGAGTCTGGGAAAGCTTCCTGGAGGAGGTGACATTTATGCAGAAACTCAAAGGACAACCATCAGAAAGAAAATTTTCCAAAGAGAGAGAGTCATTTGAAATTTGATTATTACATTAATCACTTGCTCCTTGCACAAATATTTTGTTTCCTTTTTCTTCTAGATTCTGCACTTGAGAAGGCTCAACTAGAAATTGAGAAATTGAAAGGACATTTGATAAAGCTGAAAGAAAATGGTGAGTCATTTTAGCAGATATAATATTTAATAATAATACATTATATAAGCATAGATTCAATAATATTTTAAAATAATAACATTATTTAATAATTATGATAATAATAGTACTACGATCACTATTATTACTGTTTCTACTACCATTACTACCACTTGTTGCCTACTAAGTAAAGTACTTTGCCAGGCACTTTAGATGTATTATCTCAAATTCTCACAACAATTCCAAGTAGTGAGCAGTAGTATTCCCATTTTATAGATAAAGAAACTGAGTCATGGGGGCTGTCCCCGTGGCTGAGTGGTTAAGTTCGCGCACTCTGCTGCAGGCGGCCCAGTGTTTCGTCAGTTCGAATCCTGGGCGCGGACATGGCACCGCTCATCAAGCCACGCTGAGGCGGCGTCCCATATGCCACAACTAGAAGGACCCACAACTAAGAATGTACAACTATATACCGGGGGGCTTTGGGGAGAAAAAGGAAAAAATAAAATCTTAAAAAAAAAAAGAAAAAAGAAACTGAGTCATGGCAAAGTTAAGTGAATTATCCAATAGCCATAGAACTTATATATATCTGACTCCAAAACCTGTGGTCAACACAAATAATATATATTTTACTGGGACCACTGAGATCAAGACACTTTATAGTGCATTTAACACCTCACACCTATTTGTTCACTGGGAAACCAACAGTCTTGGAATCAGTGATGAATTAGTTAATCTGATCCTAGCTTGACTAGGTAAAAACGCTGCCAGTTATAAATAATATAATGAAATTTGAATGTTGGAATGGAATGTAACTACAAAAATAATTTAAAATATATTTCCTGGTTTTAAGTAATTCTAAAACTAGGTTTACCCTGTGATATTGTGATTTATAACAAGAAATATATATTTGGTCTTTATCCAGTTCCTGGCACCAAGTTCCTGAAACTCTTGCAGTTTCCTAAGTGATGAGACAGATCAAGTTGTCTTTTGTTATGTTAATGAGGACTTTTGGAAAGCCCCTAAGTAACCACAGGATGGGAGCTGGTTGCCAGGGGAGCCAACCATGTGATTAGCAGGTTGGAACTTTCAGTCCCAACCCCTACTCCCCAACCTCCCCTCTCCAAACTCCCACCCCACTACTCCCACCTCCACCACCTGGGAGGGAAGAAGGGCTGGAGAGTGAGTTCAATCACCAGTGGCCAATGATTTAATCAATCATGCCTATGTATGTAATGAAGGCTTCAGAAAAACCCAAAAGGAGAGGATTCGGAGAGCTTCCGGGTTGGTGAACACATGGAGATTTGGGGAGAGTGGTGCGCTCTGGGAGGGCCAGGAAGCTCCACACCCCTTTCCCCATACCTTGCCTTTATGCGTCTCTTCTATCTAGCTGTTCCTGAGTTATGTCCTTTTATAACAAACTGATAATCTAGTAGGTAAAATGTTTCTCTGAGTTCTGTGAACTGCTCTAACAAATTAGTTGAATAAGGAGAGGGTCATGAGAACCTCTGATTTATAACGGGTTGGTTAGAAGCACAGGTAACTTGGGCTTGAGATTGGCATCTGCAGTGGAGGGCAGTCTTGTGGGACTGAGCCCTTAGCCTATGGAATCTGATGCTATCTCCAGGTCGATAGCGTCAGAATTGAGTTAAATTGTAGGACAACCAGCTGATGTCTGAGAATTGCTTGGATATGTGGGGGGAAACCCACACACATTGTGATTGATGATGAGGATTTTTAACCCTCCTTTTTGAAAATATATGAATACAATTATAAAATGAACATGACTTTCTTGGTAGTTGGTAGAGGAAGTAAACAAAATCAATAGGGATATAGAAGATCTAATAACACTAGCAACCAGCATGACCTAATTGATAATTATAGAAAACTCCACCAGAAGTAGTACATTCTTTTCAAGTACACATGGGACATTCACAAAGAGAGACCATCCTGGGCCATAAAACAAATTTGTACAGAAGAACTGAAATTATACAATTTATATCCTCTGACCATAATAGGATTAAAATGAAAAGCAATAACAGAAGTATGTTTAGAAAATCCCCCAATATTTGGAAGTTAAATAAGATACTTCTAAATTGCCATGCTTTCAGAGAAAAAAAAATACAAGAGATATTAAAAATATTTTCTATGAATTAATTTGAATGAAAATGAAAACACAACATGTCAGTATTTGTGGGATGCAACTAAGTCAATACTTAGAGGGAAATTTATACCATTTAATGCTTATACGAGAAATCAAGAAAGAACTCAAAATAATCTAAGCTTCTACCTTGGAAACCGAAAATGAGAATAAATTAAATCTAAAGCAAACAAACAAAAAAAAAGGAGATATTAAAAATAAGAGTTGAAGTCAATAAAATTAAAAAGAGAACCACAATAAATTAGTGGAACCAAGAGTTGGTTCTTTGGAAGGATCAATAACATTGGTAAACTTCTAACTAGATTGTTCATGAAAAAATGAGAGAAGACACAAATTACTAATATATGAAATGACAGAGAGAACATTCCCATAGATCAAAAAGATAACAAGGGAATATTTTGAATAATTTTATGACAATAAATTTGATGACCTGGGTGAGATGGATGCATTCCTTGAAAGACACAAACTACCAAACCTCATTCAAAAAAAATAGATAGCCCTAAATCTATCAAAGAAATTGAATTTGTAGTTAAAAATCTTCCCAAAAAGAAAACTCCAGGCTCAGACAGCTTCACTGGTGAATTCTAACAAACTTTTAAGGAATAAATAATACTGATTTTACGTAAACTCTCCCAGAAAATTGAAGAGCGAATACTTACCCACTTTTAGGTGGTCCACATCACCTTGATAACAAAACCAAAAGACATTACATTATCCTCATGACCGTAGGAGAACTTGTAAAAAGTACAGAGAGTAAGGAGGAGCTTGTTGGGTAGTAAAAATAAATTGTGTTTATGTAGAGTGGATTGGCTAAATAAGCTACTAAACAGTGGATGCCTTGCGTCTATTAATAAGAATGGTTATATATACACACAGATTTATGTGCACTGACAGGAGCAGATGTGGGTGATATGTTATCAAGCGAAAAAAGCAAGCCATAGAGTACTACATGTGCTATAATATCATTTTGGTTTTTCTTTTTGTAGGGAGTATGTATGTGTGTCCCCCACAGGACTGCTATGAGGTGGTACACACCAATATGGCAGGAAAGTTGTGAAGACACTGGAATCATTTTTGTGTAAATTGTAAATAGCTGCTGCCCTGAGTCTTCCAAGTGTCTCCCACCTACCCTGACTCTCCCAGCTCCTTCCAGCCCCTTGTCTTTCCAGCCACTAAAGGGATGTTCTCTAGAAGTCTGCTCCAAAGCTACATTCTAATAGGTGAGGGTTCATGCTTCCCCAGTTAAATATTTTTAATACAATCGTTGTCTGTATGTTAGGATATGCATATAAATTTTTAAAGAATGTTAACCAAGGGGCCAGGCCCCTGGCCCAGTGGTTAAGTTCGCGTGCTCTGCTGTGGTGGCCCAGGGTTTCACCGGTTCAAATCTTGGACGCGGACATGACACTGCTTGTCAGGCCATGCTGAAGCGGCGTCCCACATGCCACAACTAGAAGGACCCACAACTAAGAATATACAACTATGTACTGGGGGGCTTTGGGAAGAAAAATGAAAAAAAGAAAAAAAAAGAAGAATATTTACCAAGTATTAACAATATTATTTTGGGTCAGGGTAGTAGATAAGGGTTGGATGAGAATATCCACTTTGAACATAAATGTATAGCTTGATTTTTTTTTTTAACAAAAAGCCCATATTCCATTTGTGACCAGCAAAACAATCCTGGTTTTAGTGACCTATTTAAAATAAGCCATTATTCAACTTTATTTTTAAGATTTGTGAAAATTAAAAATACTGGTAACATCCACTATGGAGAAATGGGCAGTGTCATTGTGAGAATGTAACTTTGTACAATCTTTTTGAAGACTAATTTGGCAGTATCTATTAAATTTTTTAAATGCACGTGTCCTCTGATCCAGCTATCCCATTTCTGAGGATTTATTTTTTGGAAATAGTGTCATAAGTACCTAAAGAATGATGAACAAGGATAATGATTTTAGAATTATTTACAAGAGTAAACATTGGCAACAAACCTAAACCTTCATCAGTAGGGAAAAGTAAAACAAATTATGGCACACTTGGACAGTGACCTGCTGTGCAGAACAGAACGAGAGAGTGGATAAACAAATTGTGGCGTATTAATAAGGTGGACTAAAGAGTAGAGAGGAACAAATTATTGATACAATGCAGATGAGTCCCAAAAATATGTAGTGAGCAAAGAAGCCTGACACAAAAAAACATGTATTATTATAAGATCCCATTTATATGAAAATCAAGAAGAAGCAAAACTAGTCTATGGTGACAGAAGGTAGAAAGTGGTTGTGGGGGTGGGTGGGAGTAGAGGACTGACTGAAAGGGACGTGAGGGAGCTTTATGGGGTGATAGACATGTTCTGTATCTTTTTGGAGGGGAAGTTCACAGGTATATAAAATAGTCAAAGTTCATTGAACTGAACACTTAAGATACATTTATATTGTATATAAATTATTTGTATTATTATTATATATAAACTATTATATTTTACATAATTTATACCTCAATTAAAAAGTAGTTCCAAGTGAGAAATGGAAAATGACCATAAAGATTGTCCTGTAAAGATAGCCATGATATCTTCACAAGTGGTAGGGTTGCACGCAGTGTTGTACAGCATTGTTTAAAGTTTTAAAAACTTACATGGGCAAAAGGTAGGATAAATCTTGCCCTCCATGTATACATATATATATGGATATGGATAGTGAGTGATTTTTTTTCTCTTTTGTGTGTTTTCAACATTTTTCAAATTAAAAGAATTTACATACTAAGGAGGGAAAAAAGAGGGTAGCAAGGGAGAAAAAAGAAAAAGAAACAATTAATGCAAGTTAAAAACACAACAGGGAATGAAGAAGGAAAGCAAAGGAGACTTTAAAGCAGCGAAAGAAAAATAAGAGAAACCTAAGTGAAAAATCACTGAAAAGAAACAGCTACAAATTCAGGAAAGTCACAGGCAGCGAGTTTGCACTATGGAAACTTTGATGAGAGCTAGAAAGAGCAGGTCTTAACGTGAGGTGCTAAGCTGAGAGTGGACTAATATTCTATGGGCAAGTGCTACAGGCAAAAAGATGGTTTTGATGAAGTAAGTTGATTTCACTTGGAAAATCTGTCCATTTACTCCTCCCAGTCACTACGTCAGTCATCTGGGGGGGCCCTGCTGTCAGCGAGTGGAAGAACGTATCTAGGAGTCTATGAGGTGTGTAAGACAGACAGGACCACAAGGAAGCCACGAAGATAATTTTCTCAGTCATTTAACTTTTAGAAGATAGCCTCAACTGTTTTAAAATTCCAGGTCCTGGAAGAACTTCTACTGCTGGAAACCCTACTCTCAAAAAGTCCAACTCGTTAGTCTGGTGTGAGAAATAAAAAAAAACATTCCATTCTGTTTCATTAGGTTGGTAGAATATTCTAGGGCTGGACTTGAGAGTCTAGCAGCTCCCCTTTGCAGGGAATCGTGTATGTGGAGTCGTGGTAGGACTGAAGAAAAGGGCAGGAAATAGCATATCCTTCGTTTTTAAGAGTTAGTGCCCTCAAATTAAAACTTTGATCTGGTTGAGTGAACTGTGCTCTTCTCTGTTTTAGGTTCAATTGACTTACAGAAAGCAAAGGAACATAATAAGAGACTGGATGAGGAAATCCTGGCTTTAAGAAATCGCGTTCGATCACTTGACTCAGAAAAGAAAGAGCTTGGAGAAGTGGTAAGTTGTTTAGTTTGTTCTTAGAATGTATTTAAATGTGTATAGGAGAACGATCAGCAGTAGAGTGACATAGATATACATCACCTACTGGTTATCAGTGAGGGCGGACACTGGTGGTGATAGCATCCCACGTAGATGCCATACTTTGCCCCGGATACCTTCTATCAGTATTTATATTTTATACATTTTAACTACCTTTGCTAAACAGTAATGTTATTGCTATTGTGTCAGTTTAGGATCTTTTCTTTTCTTTCTTTCTTTCTTTCTTTTTTTTTTGCTGAGGAAGTTTGGCCCTGAGCTAACATCTGTTGTCAATCTCCCTCTTTTTTGCTGAGGAAGATTCGCCCTGAGCTAACATCTGTGCCTATCTTCCTCTATTTTGTATGTGGGATGCTGCCACAGCATGGCCACTGCTGAGTAGTGCATGTCCGCGCCCAGGAACCAAACTCGGGCTGCTAAAGCAGAGCACGCCAAACTTAACCACTAGGCCTCTGGGGCTGGCCCAGGATCTTTTCTTTTTAATAAAGATTTAGATAATAGTTTATACTTAACACATTTACCAAAGACAAATTATTACTCTATTATATTGGATAAGTTTGAGATTATTAATGATAAACTCTTAGTTGTATTACATTTTTGAGCCATTTCTTCTTAGCAATATATTGATTTTTAATATGTACTTCCAAGTTCTGGGTATGTTATATCTCTTTTCAATTTCACTTTATATTCATTTCATAATCATATCTCTAGTATCTAACACTCCTGGCATATATACTAAGCACTCAAGAAATTTTGTTGCAAGAAGGAATAAAAACCCATTAGGATAGCTATTATCAAAATAATAGAAAATAACAAATGTTGATGAGGATATGGAGAAATCGGAAACCCTTGTGTATTGTTGGTGAGAATGTTAAATGGTACAACCACCATGGAAAACAGTATGGCACTTCCTTTAAAAAGTGAACATAGAGTTACCTTATGATCCAGCAATTCTGCTTCTGGGTGTATACCCAAAAGAATTGAAAGCAGGGACTCAGGGATATTTGTGCACTTACGTTCATAGCAGTGTTATTCACAATAACCAAAAGGTTGAAGCAACCCAAGTATCCACTGACAGATGAATGGATAAACAAAATGTGGTATATGCATGCAATGGAATATTATTCAGCCTTAAAGAGGAAGGAAATTCTGACATACGCTGCCGCATGGATGAAGCTTGAAGACGTGCTAATCAAATAAGCAAGTCACAAAAGGACAAATAGTGTATGATTCCACTTAAATGAGGTACCTAGAGTAGTCAAAATCCTAGAGTCAGAAAGTAGAATGGTGGTTGCCAGCAGATGGGCTCAAGAGCAGGAAGCGGAGTTATCGTTTAATGGATGTAGAGTTTGAGCTTTGCAAGATGAAAAGAATTCTGGAGATGGATGGTGGTGATGGTTGTACAACAATATGACTGTGCTTAATGCTACTGGACTGTGCACTTAAAAATGGGTAACATGGTAAATTTTGTGTATATTTTATCATAATTTAAAAAATGCAATCATAAGAAAGAATGAATACACAAAGACTGTTCAAGTTCTTCAAGTTTAGTCTTTGTAAATTTATATATCTAACATAAATATGTATATATATATGCGAGATAAAGTTCAGGAAGGATAAATCCCAAACAGTGTTATTTCTGAAAAAGGGGAAGGGATTGTGGGGTAAAGTTATATGAAGGAAAATATCACTTTTTACTCTATATTCCTGTTTTGTTTGAATTTTTTACAGGTAGAATGTATTCATATATTACCTATATATTTTTAAAACAAAGCAGTGCACCCCCCAACAACTTTTGTATTTAAAATGCTTTTGCATTTAAGGTCGAAAGACTTAAAGGAGAGATTGGTGAATCTCCAGAGAATAAGCAACTTGGAAACCTCTCCCCTGGCAAAACTGTGGGTGCTGAACAGAGAACACAGGTAGGTTAATGTTCTGTTCTTTCTGATTTCTTATTTTTAACTGAGTCCCATTTTTCCCAAGTACACCAGAGCAGTTTGTGCTAGTCATTTGCTACTCTCCTCTTATTGCCTGTCTGTTTCTATTGCTCACCAGTTAGAGTGGAGGAAGAAATTGGGGTACAGAGGATGTGTTTCTGTTCATTTCTTCCCCACAGGGAGCAAGTAATATGAAGCATGTAATGGATTGTTTCTTTTTAAAAAAAGAGAATCTTGCAAAGATACAACCAATATGAGCATTTTTAATCACCAAAATGGAGTTGATTCATGGAATTGATCAATGGCGGGGGAATGGCGAGCGGGAACCACACTGAACATAATAAGATACTATGGAGAGTGAATAAGGTTCAGGCTCCAGCATGTACAGTGTCTAGTCTTTCAGCGTAATCAGCCTCTGAAGTGGTGGGCAAAGTGATCAAACACAAGACAGATGGAGGCAAGAGCCTCGTGTTTTAGAGCGGGCTGTTTCAGACAATCAGGTGAAGGAGCTAAACTGCTTTCGGGTGGCCTTTCCTCTCACATGCCTAAGATGAGTGACAGCCCTTGTTGCCGAGGGATCTCCTTCACCAGAGCTTGTTTTTACTGGAACTCCCTGGGCTCCATGCCCCAGACCTCTTAGATATCAAGGAAACTATACCCACAGAGTTTCTTGGCTCCCCATCCAAGGACCTGGTATCCTTCCTGTCTTCCAGCCACCTTGTAGGTAAATAATGTATTTTTGTAGGAAGGAAGGAAGGGAAGAAGAAAGGAAAGAAGGAATTTATAGGCAGGATTTCAGTTAACTTTTACCACAATTATTCCCAAAGAACCCAGTGGTGCTCTAATTTAAAGCAAGTAACCATTTTTGTTAGTTTCTTATTTATCCTTCCAATATTTCTTTACTCAAATACAAGCAATTTCTTTCTTTCTTTCTTTCTTTCTTTCTTCCTTCCTTCCTTCCTTCTTTCCGTCTTTCTTTCTTTCCCTAAAATGCTCCTGGAGATCCTTCAATAACATACAAGAGATCTCCTCATTCTGTAGAGCCGTCTAGCATTCTATTGTGTGGACGGACTGTAATTTATTTAACCAGTCTCCTGTTGATGGACACTTGGGTTGTTCCCAGTCTTGTGCATATATGTACACAGGTGTTTCTGTAGGACAGATTCACAGAAATGGGATTGTAGGGTTAGAAGGTAGATGCATTTGTAATTTTGGTAGATATTGTCAGATACTACTGAGTGGAAATTGTACCATTTTCCTCTCTCATCAGCTGTGTATAAGAAAGCCAGTTTCTTAAAAAATTCATCAACCAAATGTATTGTCAAACTTTTGTATTTTTACTAAATGATAGGTGAGAATGAGTATCTCAGTGTAGTTTTAATTTTCATTTATCTATTTATAGTGAGATTGAATATTTCTCATAGGTTTAAAAATTATTTGTATTTCTTTTGTAAAATTAAGTTTATTGAAATATTTAATACACTATAAGCATACATGTTTTAGGAGTGGAGTTCAATGAGCTTTGACAAATGCGTACATCTGAATAACCACAATCACTGCAATCAAGAAAGAAAACATTCATTAGCCAGAAAGTTCCCTCCCCCTTTGCCATCAATTTCCCCTACTCCACCACTTTCTATTACCATACCTGTTCTGGAATTTCAAATAAATAGAATCGTCTAGTATATACTCTTTTGCGTTTGGCTTTTTTCACTTCAAATAATTCTTTTGAGATTTATCCATGTTGTTGCCTGTATCAATAGTTCATTTTTTATATTGCTGAGTAATATTCCTGTACATGAATATACCATAAATTGTTTATCCACCCACTAGTTGATAGACAATCAGGTTGTTTCCAGGTTTTGACTGTTACGAATAAAGCTGTTACTAGGATTCATATATCAGTCTTTGGGAGTTTGTTTTTCCTCTTGGGTAAATACCTGGTAATGGAATTACTGAGTCATAGAGTAAGTGTATGTTTAATTTTATGAGAAACCGCCAGACTTTTCCAAAGTAGTTGTACAATTTTTACATTCCTACCAACAATGGTATGGAGGTTTCCATCACTCCTTATCTTCACCAACATTGTTATTGTCAGTCTTTTTAATTCCAGCTATTCTAGTAGGGATGTAGTGGTATCTCATTGTGGTTTTAATTTGACTTTTGAGAGTGTCTAATGACAGTGAGAATGTTTTGATGTACCCATTGGCCATTTGTATATGTTCTTTTATAAAACATCTGTTCAAATATTTTGCTCATTTTTAGTTGTTATATGTATGCCTTATATTGAATTGTAAGAATTCTTTATATATTTTGGATACCAGTCATTCATTAGATATATGTATTTCAGATATTTTCTCTCAGTCTATGGCTTGTCTTTTTTCATTTTCTTAACAGTGTTTTATGTAGTGTTTTTAAATTTTGATGGAGCCCAATTCATCAATGTTTTCTTTTATGAATTTATGATAGGACACAAAAAGAAATGTTTAGCTAACATCTAAGAAATCTTTGTCTACACCAAGGTCACAAAATATTTCTCTTATCTTTTCTTCTAAAGGTCTAATAGTTTTACCTTTTATGTTTAGGTTTATGATCCATCAGAAATAATTTTTGCATATCGTGTGAGGTAAGGGTTAAGTTTCATCTATTTCCAGATGAATATCCACTTATTCCAGAACCATTTACTGAAAGTAGAGTTATTTCCTTATTGAATACCTTTGATACCTGTATTAAAAATCAATTATGCAGGTCTATTTCTGAACTCTATTCTCTTCTGTTAATCTATATGTTTGTTCTTAGGATAATAGCATGCTGTCATTTTATTGTAAGTCTTGAAATCAGAAAGAAAACATATCCAATTTTGTTTTTCTTTTCCAAAATTGTTTTGGCTATTCAAGGTCCTTTGCGTTTTCGTATACATTTTAGAATCGACTTGTCAATTTTGACAAAAATGCCTGGCTAGGATTTTGACCGGGATTGCATTGAATCTTCAGATTACTTTAGGGAAAATTGATATTTTAGCAATACTGAGTGCTCCAATGTGTAAACACGGTCTATCTTTCCATTTATTTGTGTCTTCTTTAATTTATCTCAGCAACGTTTTGTAGTTTTCAGCACACAGATTTTACACGTTTAATTAAATTTGTTCTGTTTAAAAATTGAAATATAATTTACACACCATAGAATTCACCCTTTTAAAGTATACAATTCAGTGTTTTTTAGTATATTCACAAAGTTGTGCAATTATCACCACTATCTAATTCCAGAACATTTTCGTTACCCCAGAAAGAAGCCCCATACCCATTAGCAGTCATTCCTCAATCCTCCAGCCCCCCAGCCCTTGGTGACCACTAATCTACTTTTTATCTCTTTGAATTTGCCTATTCTTTACATTTCATATAAATTGGATTGTATAATACATGGCCTCTTGCATCTGGCTTCTTTCACTTAGCGTAATGTTTTCAAGATTTAACCATATTGTAGCATGAACCAGTACTTTATTCCTTTGTATGGCAGAATAATATTCCATTGTATGGATATATACACATTTTCACTTTTCATTCATCAGTTGATGGACATTTGGTAGTTTCCACCTCGGTGCTATTATAAATAGTGCTGCTGTGAACATTCATGTACAAATGTTTGTGTGGACATGTTTTCATTTCTCTTGGTTATGTACCTTGCGTGGAAAAGCTAGATCATGTGTTATTTCTGTGTTTAACCTTCTGAAGAACTGCCAGATTATTTTCCAAAGCACCTGCACCATTAGACATTCCCATCAGCAGTGTACGAAAGTTCCCATTTCTCCAATTCTTTACCAACATTTGTTATATTCTGTCTTTTTTATGATAGCCATCCTAGTGGGTGTGAAACTGTATCTCAGTGTAGTTTTGATTTGCATTTCCTGAATGACTGATGATATTGAGCTTCTTTTCATGTGCTTATTGGCCATTTGTATATCTTCTTTGGAAAATGTCTATTCAAATCCTTTGCCTTTTTTTTTTGCTGAGGAAGATGCTAACATCTGTTGCCAATCTTCCTCTTTTTGCTTGAGGGAGATTGTTGCTGAGCTAACATCAGTGCCAATTTTATTCTATTTTGTATGTGGGACACCACCATAGCATGGCTTGATGAGTGCTGTGTAGGTCCGCGCCCGGGTTTCAAACCGGTAAACCCTGGGCTACCAAAGTGGAGCATGCAAACTTAACCACTACACAACCAAGTTAGCCCCTTAATAGAGTTATTTGTCTTTTTATTGTTGAGTTGCCAGAGCTCTTTATATGATTTGTTTATTAGTCTCTCTTATGGACGGAATTGTGAACCACCCAAAATATGTTAAAGTTGCAACCCCCCGTACCTGTGAAGGTAATCTCATTTGGAAATAGAGTCTTTGCAAATGTAATTAAGTTAAGATAAACTCATTAGGATGGGCTCCAACCCAATATAACTGGTGTGCTTATAAGAGTAAACGCCATGTGAAGATAGAGACACACAGGGAGTGCCATGTGATGACAGAGCCAGAGATTGGAGTGATGCAGCTGTAAGCCAAAGAACACCAAGAATTGATGGCCACCTCTAGAAGCTAGGAGGAGACAAGGAAAGATTCTACCCAGAGTCTCAGAGGGAATATTGCCCTGCTGACACCTGGATTTCGGAGTTCTAGCCTCCAGAACGTGAGAGAATACATTTCCGTTGTTTTAAGCTGCCTGGTTTGTGGTGCTTTGTTTTGGCAGCCCTAGGAAACTCACACAGATTTTGGCCTCACAAAGTGAGATGCTTGGATACAAATGCCTAAAACCGTAGAGGTGGCTTTGGAATTGTGTTATGTGTAGAGGCTGAAATAATTTTGAGGTGCTAGATAGAAAAGGCCTAAGTTGCCTTGAAGAGACTGTTGGTATAAATATGGACCTTAAAGGCGGTTCAGGTGAGAGCTGAGAAAGAAGTGAGAACTATAGGGAAAGCTTCTATCATCTTAGAGAATTCAT